GTGACAAATAACTGCGGCCATCTTTCCTGTGCAAACAAATATGGCTGTCTCTTCCCCAAATAATCGTAAAACAGATTAAGTCCATGAACCAAGCTACTGCTGTAACTGATTCCCTACATTCTGAAAACACATTTCTTTCTGCGGAAAATGTGTCTTAGATTTGTTGGGACTTGAGGTGGATGTTGATAGTGAAAGATCTGGATAATAAAAGAGGAAAGAGCGTTTTGCTTCAGGAACAGAAAATGATGTGAAACAGCATGATATGTGGCTAAAAGGGGGAGGGCGGCATCACGAGATGTCACTAGGGTTAGTTTCACCAGCCTCAGGGGCACCAGTACTGGCATGAATGGAATATGTTTTCTGGAGTTCAGGAGATGAAAATTCTTGTGAAGACACACTTAGACTATCCATTGGAAAGCCAGGATTTAATTAAATGTATTGGTACAGGGATTGCATGTAAAATTCATTGTCAAGTAACCTATATGCCCATCAGCAGATGAACAGAACGGAGGTGTGGCATTTATACAAAATGTAGTCTATCCTGCTGCGAAGAAGATAAACTTGAGTCATTTGTAGAACAATGGATGAACTGTTTTTCTGTTGGTACCAGGAATCAAACCCAGCTCCTCACACCTGTAAGGCAGGCGGGCGCCTCTGAGCTATATTTCCAGCCCTCGATGAAATTTGAGATCATAATGTTAAGTGAAATAAATCAGACATACAAGCTTAAATCTATTGCCTTCCCGTATATGAGAAACACAAAGCATAAATAAAAGCAAAATAAAAGGTAGATAATAGGAGACAGGGGATACATCTTTTGTTAAAGGGAAGGGGACCAAGAGAGGGAGGAAGGGAGGAGAAGATGAAAAAGAAAAAGACTTGAGATGTGTTCCACACGTGCCCCAGCTCCCCCTGAGGAATGCGATCAGTATGCTCTGCAAACATGTACTAATAAAAAATAAAAACTGAAGACAAAAAGTTAAAAGGCGCTGGATTATTTGTAAGAGCAATTATTCTCTTTGATTGGTGACTTACAGAGGGAGCCATGTCTCCCCAACTCCCACATCCATCTGGCACCAACCTTATTCTCTGTCAATCTAAGTCAACTTTAAAGTAAGAGGAAAAATCCTGCAATTGAAGTTGTCTATTTTTTGCTCGTTATGTCTAGCTCCTCAACACTGTCGATGATTAAATCAAATGTTCCAATAACTGCTAATGGTCTGACTGTGACCTAAGATAAAAATGTGAGTCTCATGCAACGCATACTTGAAAGATGGGTGTTGTCCTGAAGTATGCCTGGAATCAGGCCGGCACCTAGGACTTAAACAAGAACCAGATGGGAGAGGGGTCAGGAATGAAGCTTCTCCCAGTCCCATCATGGCCCAATTCTCAGGAGACACTGGCGTTTTTCTCACCGGAAACCACACAGCTTGTGTGGCTTACCAGAAAGGCTGGGTAGTTGATTCCTCCTCCATGATTCTTTATCAATGTTCTACATCTCTGTTTATGACACTACAATACATCTAATTTCTTAACTCTAAACTTTTCCTTGGTTCTTCTCTTTTGCACATTTTCTGCATCAGACTCTGAGTAACAGCTACAGACTGATTCTAAATCAGGTCTTAAATCATTAGTAGTTTCTGCATCTGCACTACTGTACCCTCGTCGAATCTAACACAGACGCACACAAAAGCTGCCAACTGATCTTCTATTTCTTTTCTTTACCTTAGAGTTTCCCACCACACAGCCAGAGTTGTGCTTTGAAAATGTAAATCAGATCGTGTTCTTTTCCTACGCAAGACACGCTAATGACTTCCTAATGCAGCTTAAATCAGAACTCTTTTCTCTGGCTTTTAAAGCCTTGAGCGATAGTCTCTGGTTACCATTTCAGCTCCCTCCTATCCAGCCTGTGATGTGCTGAGAAGTGTGCAAAAGCAGGTGCTTTAAAGCAGCGGCCGGGATGGGGCTGGGCGTTAGTTGGAGGAAGCGCTCACTCTCCGTGTTGCCAATTCCCCTGGTGTAAATGTGCCTTCTCTGGCCGGTTGGGCTACCAAAGTGTTGTGCTGGCTGAAAAAGTGTTGGGGGTGCCAGGTTGTCTCAGTGCCAGTGAGCTGGCACTGTGTGGGCCCTCATCCCAGGCTCTGCGCGTCCTGGTTCTCCTGTATTTCTTCAAACACATCACTTAAGGAAGGCACCTACCTGGGACCTTGTGCCCCATTTTTGCCTCTGCCTAAAATTCATTTCCACCTGCTAGTCATATAGGACAAGATCCATTGTTGCTATGTAGTTCTCATGTGAGCTGAGAAATCTCCTGAAGTATTGTTTGAATGCTTAGGGTTAGTCAGTTTCTGGTACCTCGTCTAACGTTACCTCCGTAGGATTGGAAGCTGTCTGATGTCTCCCTATGACTTGTATTTATCTTTATTGTTTGCCTCCCTGGAACAGGATCCCCATAATTGCAGGGAACTTCTCTGTCATGTTCTCCGCTGTATACCCAGTGCTAGGGCAGCATCTACCACACACACAAACTGCTCAATTCAGAAAAACAAATCAATGGATAAAATAGCATTTTCAGCACAATTGATTTCCACTTGTCTCCATTGTCTTCTATTAACCAAAAAGTCAAATTTCTCAAACAAAAGTTGCTTTTTTCTTGTTTTACCATTTTTCAGTCATTCATATCCTAACCTGCCCCTTTGCTCTTCAAATCTCAAAATATTTTTACACTGCTAACTTCTCACCAGGCCTGTAATCTTTTAAGAAATCTTTTATGACTTTTTCAGACCACAATGTCTGGTAACTGGTGATGTGGTGCCGTGTGATGGCTCACTTCTCGCTGTCCAGTGACTGCTGTGTGTCTATTGGATGCTGCCGGCACCTATCAGTTCTCCTGGCCTTTGACCCTGAGCTCCTATTGGTCCACCTTCAGTCCTTCTTCAGTCAGTACCGAGATCTCTGGACCATTTCAAGGACACAGCCACACTTAGTCAACATCTGCTAACTGTACAGCTTTTGGGATGTTCGAATGTTCATGACCTGGACTTCTTTTGTTTTCCTCCAGGTCTCTGTCCTCCATCTTTCTTTACCTTGCTTTGTGCTGCTGACACATGTGTGCCTTCCATTCCCAACTCGTCTCTCCTCCTTCTCTAAGAGCCAAGGCAGTGAGAAGTATAAGTCTGAGCTGGGCGGCAGGAAGGAGAATGAGGTGACAGCCTGGTCTCCGTCCCCCCTCTGCAGGCTCCTCACTGTCTGCTTCCTCTCTCGCTGCAATGCCTTAACTCTCATAAGGTAATTTTTCTTCACAGCATTCTCTCTAGATTCCCAGGCCTGATGCATAGTATTGCACCATTGTTTGGAATTTTAGACACAGAACTCATGGCTTTATAAATAGTCTCTTTATTACACTCTCTCCAAATTACTCAGTGTGAGAGTTCATCCTGTTTGCTGCTAAATCCTTCAGGATTTTTCTCTTTTTTCAAAGAACATAACCCATGCTAATACATAGCTCGGATAATACCTCTGCTGTTAAGCTTCCTCTATTTCTCAGAGAAATGAGGCTCAACAAAATTTAGCTAAATTGTATTTGACCATGTCATCATTTATATATTGAAATTCCTTTGCATGTAACAAAGCAAAAACAATTCTTGCCTCTGAGAGAAACTAAATTTTTGGAAAGCAGAGCTGGGCTATCTATCTAAATATCTCTCTTGCTTTTCTCTATATTCACGGCCAGCATTAGAGGACAAGTTGCCATCATCTCCCCCCCAGTGCATGACCACTCCAGAGATCTTTACAATTAATCCAGTTTGTAGTCTGTTGTGTGGTCAGAGGAATGTCTAGTGGATATGTCACTACATGCATACACCCAAAACACACACACACACAGAGACTACATACATGGCTTACACAGCCCTCTCACGCCATGGAGGAAAACTGGCTCCTTAACTTGCTTCTGAGTTGTCCAGCGGTCTGTCACGGGCTCCTTCTCCAAGCTGCTCTCCATGGTGCTCTGTTCTCTTTCTCTATTTCCACGTGACACTGACTTTCTTTCGCTGTTTCATGTGCTTCAAGTTCTCTCCGGGCACAGTCTTTGCTCTGCTGTCTCCCCTCCCTAACACGCTCCTTTTTCCTGTCTTCCTCAATGAACTCTTGCTTACTTGATATCTCAGCCTATGCCACTGTTCTCCAGGAAGTACTCCTGGCCTCTGTCCCCTTATGTTTCCGGATTTCTCCTCTTTCACCTCCTCTGGGGGACTGTGTGTCTCTGTGCTCCACTTGCTCACTGGCTGGGGACAGCAGGGTCAGGATTTTCTCACTGGGTATCACCAGCACCTGCCTGGTTGTGTGCGGCACTCATTAAATGTTTGCAAAATAAAAATATGCTCATGACCCAGTTGTAATGGAAGCTTCATCTCCATTGAATTTCCTCATGACTACCTTTTATTCTTTTGATCAGGGTTTCTATTTTAATTGGATTACTAGACAAATGGTCATGGCAAAAACAAATACATTGTTATAAAACTGCGTAAGTTGTGCAGGTTCAGTTTAAAGCAGTGCTAAGTGCAGATAAATAAAAGATAAAACCCAGAGATAAGTGCTGTTAACATATTGGAATACATTTTTCAAGGATGTATTTCTGCATTATTCAATGGTTCTTTGAATACAAGGAACAGCAAATGAACAAACTGGAGTTGGATAAGAAGTGAATTTATCGGAGGGACGTCTAATAAGGTCACACAATCAAAGGGAGAACAATTTTCCAATTACAGGAAGGCAAGAAGAGTAATTGGAACCCAAATCTCAAACTCCATTAGTGTGGTTGCCCTTTGTCTCTGTCTGATCATCCTTCCTATCTAGATAGCTTTCTTATGTCTTCCTGGAGATTAGTTTCCTCCACATGGAGAATTCTAACTCTAGGCTGCAAAAGATTTTCCTTCTTCGAGTTTGAAACACACTCTGATTCTGGGAAAACTTATATCCACCATATTCTCTTGCTTCAGATGCCGAACAAATGAGCTGGCGACATGGAAGGATGTAATCTGATGTGGAGCAGGAACGAAGGCAAGAAGAAGAAACTGGGCAGAGGGAAAGGGGAGCAAAAAGGACCAAAAAATGCTATATTTATGTCCCAGCGCACCGACATGAGTGGTGAATGTATTTATATTTATTATGTTTTGCACGCATATACTACTACAACTTTTTTACAAAGAGAAAAATGTTCCAAAGAAGGCTTTTGGAAGCTGCCCATTACCTTGAGTGTGTGCGTGTGTGAACGTGTGTGTGCACGTGTGTGTGTGTGCGTGCTTGAGGGTGGTAAGTCCACTGTTTCATAGGCTGCACCCCCTGTAATGATTCAGCCACGCAAGCTCCCAGGCCAGGAGAAGCAGGAGTGCTAATCGTTTCCATCCTGTAGAGAGGCTGCCCCTGAGCACCGGGAGGTGGAGGTGAGGAGACCTGGGCCGAAGGAGGAGGCCTGCAGGGAGGCTGAGCAACAAGACCCTGGATTCAGGCCGCAGTGAGGAAAGTCATTCAAAGGAAAGGCCAGAGCCCAGATGAGCTCATTTCTGAGAGGAAATAGGAGTTAATGAATAAAGATAGCACGAGAAATCTAGGGAGATAATTGGCCTTACTAGATAGAGGGTCTCTTGCCGGAACAGTACATCCTAAAAATGCTAATGCAGAGCCCCAGAAGACCGGAGCGGCCTTAGATAAGAACAGACTCATCACAGCCGTTTGCAGAAGTGTCAGGCAGGGCCTGGAGACTGGGGACATGGATCTGCATCTCGGCCAGGAGGAGAAGGAGGAGGAGGAGGAGGAGGAGGAGGGGAAGGAGGAGGAGGAGGAGGAGGAGGACAGTGTCTGCCACTCACTCTCCTCCTGCCCCACCTGTTCGCAAAGCCTCCCGGGCCTGGCTGCTGTCTTTGCCTGCATCTCACGTGGCGGGGGGTGTTGCAATCAACAATCCCCGAAGAAGTGGACCAAAGCTTTGCTCCTCATGTGCTCCAGGACTGCCTCCCAGAGGTCCCAGGGGCTGTGCTCAGCTCCCGTGCCAATGTCTCAGTGCAGCTCTGTCCGGGCCCTACAACCCCGGTTCTGTGGACTCGGCAGTGCCAGCTACCCACTGAGCACTATTAGTGTTATTTAAGAACCACTTCGCATGTTAGACTCTCGTGGCAGGTAACACGATCTCAAATTCATGAAGCATCTGCTCTCTCCTCATCCAGCCACTCTGGAGATAATCTTTAGAAGGTAGATTTTTTTTCTAATGACTTTAAATTTGAATTTTTTTTTTTATGTGGAAGTTTGGGAGACTTTGAAAAGTCATGCTCAGCGAAAAAAAAGTAATTTATAGTCCCTCTAGTTAATAACCTCTTATGTGCTTTAATAATTTAAACCAATTATCAATGGGAAGGTCTACAGTGTATACTTCGGTGATTGCTTTTCGTATATTCCCTCCTTTCTTTCATGCGTGTGTCACTTGTCCTCAATGTGTCTCCAGTGCCTATTATCTCAGCTTCACACATACAGTAACTGCGTTAGCTAGGAGAACGTGACCTTGACACCGAGAAAAACAGTCCTTTAAAGGATAGCTCAATTAAAATCGCAGGCCTCTGGTCCTGATTGGGCTTCATTACTATTCATGAGACCGTGCGGGGCTGGGTCTCATGCTCACGGGGCCTCAAGGCTTGCTTCAGAAAAGGCGCATTAAAGTTATCAGTGGGATGTCTGCCTGGAGCCTGTGGATGCCCCGTCTCCCACCCCGTCTCCCACGCTCATTAGCCTGACTCCGCTCCAGGAGATCTTTCTCTCCAAAGAACATGTGTTCTGCTGCTAGATTGGGGACCCCTCGAGAGAAACTGCAGTGGGCCCTGGGCGAGGAGATTCAAGCTGATTGGAATGTGAACGAAAGTTGGCAAACTTGAGCGATTTATTTCATCTTCAAGGTCAGTTTTCTCATCTGTAAGATGGGAAGAACAGTTTGTTCTTGGCAATGAGGTGGTGGGTATGAAATGCTTGGCACAGTTCCTGACTCATTAGAAACATCAGAGCTTGAGTAGTAATCATATCGTACAAGCCAATGAGTTACTTCTCATTTTACTATAATGTAAGTGCTATTAGTGTTCAATCATTGCAGAGATAAGATTTATGTGGATAAAAACCAGCAAACACGACATGGGAGTATGTGGGGGGGGGCATATTCCATGCTCTGTTGCTCACAAAGCAGAGAGATGCATTATATGGAGCATGTAGGAAAGGAGGATTCCTTGCAATTTTAGGATAGGAAAGGAGTCACCAACCCAGGCGATGGATGTGGACTCTCAGAACACAAAGAACTAATGATCTGTACCAAGTCAAAAGAAAGCCCTTCACGACTGGAGAGTATTTATATTTACTAATTCTAAAGCTAGGGCATCTGAATTGCTCGGAAGGAGATCAGGTTGCACAGCATCAGTAGAATTTGTCTGTAAGAGGAAGGCTTCAGAAGATAATTCCAGTGCTGTGCTACGCACCAAGTTCAAAGCAGAGTCCAGATCTTTATTGTCCCATACAACCAGCCCTCCTCTGTCTTCAATAACCCTGTGAGGAGTGGATCACAGGGTGTAAGCACATATGACAGAATGAAATGGGGCCACTGTCTTAGAGGTAGTGTGTCAGCAAGAGACAGGATGAAGGGGTGTAGGAACCTGTCACTTTGTGTAGGTTACACGTGGTGGCTTATCATACCTTCCAGCTGGATTTTGTGAATCTCAGCTTTCCAATATTCCAATGACTCTGCAAGAGTTTCTCAACTTTGACGTGATCAACATTTGGGGCTAGATAATCCTTGGAAGTGGGGGATACCTTGGGCACTGAAGGGTGTTTTACAGCATCTCTTGCTTCTGCCTACTAAATACAGGTAGCAGATTTCTTAATATTGACTTTAGAACATGTCTTCAAATATTGACAGATATCCCTTGGGTGGAGAGGAAAACACCCCAGTTGGGAATCACTGCCCTGCAGAAGTGATGGTTATTTGGGTAGATAAATATACCTAACACCTGTATCATGGCTCTCTCAGATCTCAGGTCTGGGCTCTGTTTATGCAGAGGCTCTGCTTGGAGATTTCTTAACTGAGTTGCCTTTGGTCTATCAATGGGGGTGAGCGGTTCCTGTGCCGTAATGTGACTTACCAGTCAAGGGAGAGCTGGCTACACAGAAACAGCTTTCAGATAGAGAAAACTGTTCATCTCAGGTGTGGACCCCGCCAAGCCCAGCCTTTGACTTGCTGTGGGAAAGAACAACACAGCTGCCCTGTCTGCAGTTCCGTGCACAGGGCAGGCCCGTGGGCAGCAGGGTTGTGCTGGATGCGTGATTTCACAGGCAGGACCTGGAGTCGTGACCCTATTCTCCATTCAGAGTATAGAGAACTCACCTCAGAACTGAAGCAAGGTGGCGTGGGGGACAGACACACATCCCGACAGCGCTGGCTCCGTGTAGTGTAGGTGTTAAACACTGCAGCGGTTTGTCTTGTCATAGTTCTAAGGCCTGTATTTAGTGATGCCATCTGAGTGCAGAATCCTGGCTTTTCTTGCACACCTAAGAGCACTTTCTGCACACAGAGGTGGTGAATCCATGCCCTAACCTGCTTTTCCTGAAGCCAGAATGGGGAGGAAAACACTGGGAAGCTGTCCCACCTGCCTCCCCTCAGCAGGGCCAGAACCAGCGCACGACTCTGCTGAAATACGGCTGTCTCTGCCGCTGCTACCGGCTCTCAGGCTGCTCATAACATCTATTAGTTCGGACCATGACTAGAAAACAAAGCCTGAAAACGGAGAGGCAAACCAGCTTTCATTTTATGAGACTGAGATTATCCGTGTGAACTGTTCTCTGTCTCTAATTCATGTTTTAATTTCCTTCTCTCAGCTTACTGTTTAGTACTCCAGTCTGTGCTTGGCTTTCTTCTTAAGCTCAGCATCTTAGCTAACTTCCAAAATTCCTGTTCAGGGATAATGTGAAAGCCAACCAGGACTAGAGGAATAGCATAAAAGTTCTGTAGCTTGGTGTGGTCTCATCTCCACTTCATCACTTCCTGATGGTCTATGTTCTTCAAATTAACTTTTTTCTCTTAGGATTCTTAGCCCAGATGGAATCCTTGAAACAAAAGCTGAAACTCTAAGACAGAGTCTCAGGAGATGCTCAGCTTTCCAGAGGACACTGCTCGCAGTGACAAATGAACTGTCACAGTGAAACTTTGTCAGTTCCGATGTTCAAACCAAGCACCAACTCTGAAGTGCGGGCCATGTGGCTTCTGAATTTTGAACTCATAAAGATAGAAGACTGGTGACACTGGGTGACGTCATTTTTAGGTAGATGTATTGATATTTAAAATTGCTTCCTATTGGTGGAAATAGGCCATTGATCTTTCCAGAAATTAATTGCTTCACTTCTATGAGTTCTCCTTTACCATTTGGTGTAGCTTTAGCAGAAATGAAAGAATGCATGTTTTTTCTTTTCACTGATTCCTTGGCAGGACCCGCGTCTGTCTTCTGTTATTTAATACGGACAGCGGCACAGTTGGGGTTACTATTGCTCACATGCAGTGATGGCGGTGAAAACCTTGACGCTGAGGGAGAACAGAAGTATGCTATAAATGACGGAGTATCATCTGAAAAGAGGCAAAGCACCGCTCCGATTACATGTGCGATTAGATTTCTTCTTTCCCGGACAGAGCATCTCAGCTGCTCCCTGCTCAGTGTTTTCTTAACCTCAATGATGATTTATAGGCAGATTGAGGACAGGTGAACATCAGGCCGGTGTGATACGGCTGCAGGAATCAAGACGCGACCAGCTCTGCAGAAGATGCTTGCTCCTAATCACCGTGCTGTCAGTCACTGGATCTAGGGGAGAAGCTAGCGAGTGGTAATGTCGAGCCATTTGGCTCGAGAGTTCAAGGGTTGCAGAATCACAGCTGCTTCCCTGACAAACCATAAGGGCAAGATTGCTGCAGAATGCGACTTATGAGAGGTGAGGGAGGACTGAAACGAACCTGGAAAATCAGAGCTGCCTTCATCTGCAGAGCCAGCACCTACTGCAGAATAAATAGACACAGGCAAATTCCACAAAGGCTCCTGTCCCTCGCCGGGCCAGGGTCTTGAAGAGAGACCTGT